ATGAGATATTAGTTATGAATTTTCATACTTAGAAAGATTATGTTTTTATATGTTCTATGCTAGTTTGATATTGAGAAGAAAAATTATATTTTGAAAAATAATTATTTTCTCACATGTCTAAAAGTAGATTTAAAAAGGAACTTTTATATAGAATACTAGTTATTAACGGCAATCTTGTTAGCCCTTGGTGCGCCATGATTAGTTACTAGCTAGTTTGATTTTTGTGAGCTCTATTCTCATGTCTGTTATTCGTGGGTCTTGTACCTGCATCTGTTTCATGGCTTCAATGACATCTAATTAGTTATCCACGTCTATTTCATGGCTTTGACCATGTCTAGTTAGTTATCCTTATAGATTGTGTGTCCACATTTATTTCGTGAATTCTGGTTATTTACCTTCATAGGCTATATGTTCACGTTTAATTTGTTAATTATTCTGACAAGTCTCTATAAATATGAATTTAATTATTTAATAATTTTATATCCTATTGGTTTTAATTAGTAATGTATTTATAATTACTTATTGCATTTATTTGCTTCCTTGAAATCAAGTTATGACAATATTTGATATGATAATTTAATGGTTCAAGATTTCCTATAAAGTTATATAGAATCCTTTTATTCCAAATTTATTTAAATTTTTATGAAGATCATTGTCTATTTAACTTACATGATTGATTTTAACTTTTCTTTTATTCATGTTTAATTATTTATTATTGAGAGGTTATTCACTGCAAATAATTTCAGTCTCAGATAGTGTAGCTGGCACTAAATCACTTGCTAAACATTGAAGAGTCTATTATTGACTAGAAGTAAAGGAGCTCAGGATTAAGTTTTTTTTTGATGTAAAATTTTAATTATGAAATTTTATTTTGTAAACTTATTTTTAAGTACTTCATATAGTTTCTAGCTAGATCCTTTATTTTTGTTATAAACTATGTCTGTTGGTTGGAAGGAGCTTTGCTCCTAATTGATTTGGTATTTTGATTAAACATTATATTGTAGAATTTTTAGGAGATCCTATTTATAAGGGAGGTTCTGTCAAAATTTCTACAAAAATACTGAAAGTTTATTTATAAGTGCACATTATTAAAAGTGTTAAAAATTTTAAAATAAATATAATTATGTTTTAGAAATAAATATTAAATATTAGATTAAAGTTTCCTTGATTAGGCTTAAGGAATGTATATTTGTGCATATATCATGTGCCAATTACATTTAATTTTTGCAACGTGACATGGGTTCTGGTTAACTCCATTAACTACATGTGTCAGGAGAATCAATAAATAGTCATATACAATTTAGAAATTATGGTCGCTCCATAATTTGTTGTCAACTTCTATATAAAAAATATGAATGACCTTGACAAATCGTTCAAATATGTTTTAGTCATGTTATGTTAACATTAATTTGAAAAGTAAAAGCTACTTAAATTATACTAACTTTTAAGATACACTCCATTATAGATTTTTTTTTTGGCCGGAAACACTCCATTATAAATAGCTCTAATAACAACACACTCTCTGTTCTTAAATATAAGTAAAATTTTCAATAACTCGAATAGTTTAAAAAAAGTTGGGTAAAATCAAAATAATTATGTATGAAATTGAAAAGTTTAGATTAACATGTCCTTATAATTAATCCTTCATTTCTCCTAATTTAATGATATTATCATTTAACGAAGGAAATTAAGTAAATGCTTCTTGAATATTATTATTGTTTTGCTTATAAAAAACAAGAAACTATATGAAAGTTTTGTTTATATATATATATATATATATATATTTTGTTTACCATGTGAAAGTATCATTGATTATTTTTCAATTTCGAAAATAACCCTTTGACAGCCAAAAATGGAGAACCAGTGAAGATTCAATCCAAGCCAGCTGCAGTAGCAGGCAACGGTCGTTTCCATGTGTTTTGTTGATTCGCTACCTGCTGCCACTAATGGTATAGCTGCTACACTTGAAGCTGTACTTCACAACAATCTCTCTCTCTCTCTATCTCTTTCTACAACATATATATATATATATATATATATATATACTCTCTTCAGTCTCATGTATAAATAACTTTGTGCCGGTTTGGATAAGGGAAAAACGCGCGTTTTGAATTCAAAATCGATTTTTTCTGCCAATTTATCCAAACAGTCGAAAATGATCAAAAATCGATTATGAGCCAAAACACGCGTTTTTTCAGAAACTCCCTCCATCAGCTTTTTGCCAAAATTGTCAAAAATATTGGGAAAAATTATAAATACAAGCCTAAGAAAAAATTACAAAGAAAGTACATAATTTAATAAAAATAAATTAAACTCTCTTCTTTTCCTTTTTTTCCTTAATAAAAGTTAAACTTGATATCTTCAAAAAATTAATATCTGGTATTTAAACATTAAATTATATAGTAACTTATATAGTTAAAAATTAATTCTAATTAAATTATCCAAACATCTTCAATTCTATTAAAATTAATTTTAAAAAAATAGTATCCAAACACATTAGGTTATAACATAATCAATTATGATTAAAATCTATCACTTAATCAATTATTTTTATAATTTATTATACCCAACTGAAATCCAAACGGGCACTTTCTAGGAGGAAGTGATGGTCTTTTTATATAACTTACTTTGCATAAAAAGGTTGTTCATTATAAATTACTTTTCTATGAGTAGAGTAAAAGATTATATATATGTATATATATATGAAGAGAAAGTGTTTTTAAAGACCCTTCATTTAATAAGAGTAAATTAGGAAAAAAAAATTCCGGACAAATATCATAGGTTAACTACCTTTTTTTATTCTGATAAGGTAGCTAGAGGTGACTTATATATAAAAGCCAAAGGGAATATTTTGTATATATTCAAGCCTGTCTAATTGGTAGATTGCGCATACATACTAACGTGTTTGCACGACTTGGTGGATTTGAAAAGGGATTAAATTTAGTGAACAAAGTGCTCTGCGGACGCTTCCAAGATGTTTCCAGTGGGAGCCACGGGAAAATTAAAATGGTGATACGAATGGCTGAGCTTTACAAGCCCTACGTGTTTCTTAAGGCTACGTGTGTCTTTTTACTAATTCTGTTTTCATTAATTTCATCGTTATATTATATGTTAATTTGATGGAACTCTATCATAATATACTTGGAATGATTGATGATGTTATGAAAATATAAAATTAACAGATTCGACGACACGAACACACAGAAAAGCTAAAGAAGGCAACAAAGTTGGAGGAAGTTTGGAAGCATTGATTGGACAGAGTACATGATGAATGTCCACATTCCTGGCCTCATCAAGTATGCAATCAAGTAATCTTCCGAGTAGTTCTTAGTTAATATCCCCAAGAATCTCTATGGAATCAATAAAATCACATTGTAGTAGAACTGGACCAACGTAAAATGTGTTATTATTTATGACTTTATGAAAAATATTGTGTGATTTGTAATAAATTTTATATGATATATATTAATTTTGATAATTTTTCCTTAGTTTTTCAGTCTACATTAAAAAAAATCTCAATGAGGATTTTTACATTCAGCATAAGATGTCATCAAAATGATGATAAATGAAATCAGTGTATTCAATTATTATATAAGATTTAAATGATAAATTGGCACCTAAACTAGTCCAATAACATTTGAAACTCTAAATTTATTTTTGGTATAATGTTCTCTTTTAATTTTTCAAAACAATGAAATATTACTCCAATTATTAGCAAATGTTAACTTTAATTGTCAATTCACCAAAAATTATAAAAAAGGACCAAGGAAAATTTCTTAACCTTTTTACCCTTCATTTTTTGGATCCATGAAAGGCAAAAACTTACCTCTTACTTCCTAAATTTAATATCTACTCTAATTCTGTGGGAAACTTATCACTCATCTATCATAACTATCCAAATAGACATCCTCTCTACAAAATCATCAAGAAAATTAAAGATTTCACCATGAATAATTGGGTGGTCATCTTCAACTATGTTTATAAAAAAGTAAATAGATACATCGACGTACTCACTCACCAAGCTTCCTAAGATAATTTTAACATTAAGATTTTAGATAGCCTACCACTAGAGTTTAGAAACCTGATAGTTTTTAATATAGCTTGATTTTTGTCTTTTCACATGGTTTTTCCATGGCCTTATATATTAAAAAAAAAAAAAAAAGCTTACCTCTCGTACTCAACATCCACAATCTCGAACTTCAAAGTGTGCTTACTCATGCCATTGTCAGCCATTAGATTTTTCTAAGCAGAGAGCGCGCGAGTGGCCACATGAGGAAGATGACACGTGTAACTATACTGGTCAAACTAATGGATTTAATAATCAACGTCAGTGAGGTTTAAGGGGAGCTGAGGGTGTCTCCATTTCTCATTTGGTGCATTTCCCTCCACTTCTCAAAACGGCATCGTCTAAGTGGGATAAAAAAAACAAAAGAAAGCCAAATAATGTGTTATTTTCATCTCCACCAGCGCGTGCGAAAACCTCTGTTTTTCTCACTCTCCCAGAACAGAAATGTGCTCACACAGCAGAAAGAAATTCTGACCAAGAAAATATTTCGATTAAGGAAGGATTTTGATTGTAATTTGGTATGGTTCCATTTTTTTCCTATTTGTTGATCATTTCTATCTCTCATTTAAACTTAAAACTTGCTGAACGTGGTTGCCATTCTCTCTCTCTTTCTCCCTTACATTGGTCATTTTCCTCCCTTGTTTTTATGTTTAAATTAATTTTGAAACACATTACTAATTTGCCATGGACTTGTGCTGCACAGAAATTTTTTTGATGACAGTCACAACTACAAGAAAGTAATGCTGACCATTTAACACATTATTATCCCTTAGCTTTGCATAAATGAATGCATCACCAAGCTCTTAGGTTATTTTTAAATTCATTAATAGTTTTTTGTTAACTCTCATGAATAACAGTGTTTATTTATTTTTTTATCTGCTTACTCTTGGTTTTAGTGTTTTTGTTTTTCAGCTTTTCTTGTTAGCTTTAAGTAATGGACACAAGTATGACTCCAACAGTTGGTCTTGAATTTGATGATCTAGAAGAGGCATGGCAATATTGGATTGACTATGGTGGAAGAATAGGATTCAGTGTTAGAAAGCAAAACTCTAATAAGAGCAAGAAGGATGATTCTATCATATATTGCAAATATGTTTGTTCCAAGGAGGGAGTGAAAAAAGCAGATAAAAGAGACTTTAAAACTAAGAAGCCTCGAAAGGAAACAAGAACAGGGTGTGAAGTGAAAATGATAATTAAAAAGGTGAATGAAAGATTTAGAGTTAGTGAACTATTTTTGGACCATAATCACCCTTTAGAGCCCCCAGAGACTATTCATTTATTAGCATCACAAAGGAGATTACCGAAAGCACAAGGCTATGCTTTGGAGGTTGCTGAAGATACGGGGATTAAGCAAAAAGCCTCTTTTAATTTAATGAGCAAATATGCAGGAAGGAGGGCTAATTTGGGGTATACCAAAGAGGAGGTAAAGAGTTATCTAAGATCAAGGAGGCAACGAGACATGATCTATAGTGAAGCTGGGTTTTTACTTCGCTATTTCCAACAACAATTGACAGAAAATCCTTCATTTTTTCATGCTTATCAAATGGACTCAGAAGAGCAGATAACTAATGTGTTTTGGGCTGATGCACATATGTTGATAGATTATGATTGTTTTGGGGATGTCATTTTATTTGATACAACATACTCTACAAATCGTGACAACAGACCACTTGCCATTTTCTCAGGTTTCAACCATTACAGAGAAGTAGTGATATTTGGTGTTGCTTTATTATATGATGAGACTATTGAGTCTTTTAAATGGCTTTTTGAAACCTTTTTACAAGCACATAAGCAAAAAATGCCATTTACTATGTTTACTGACTAAGATGCAGCAATGGCAAGAGCCTTAGAAGAAATAATGCCAAATGTAAAGCATGGCTTATGCACATTCCACATCAATAGAAATGGGGTGAAACATCTTGAAAACTTAATGAAAGATGGCTCTCGTTTTCTGGGTGAGTTTAATTGGTGCATGTATCATTGCAAGGAAGAAACAAGGTTTGAGGAATCTTGGAAAGAATTATTATCAAAATATAATGTAGAAGAAAATCCATGGTTGATGTCTATTTACAAGTTAAAAGAAAAATGGGCAGCATGTTACATGAAGTACTCAAAGACTCTTGGTATGAGAAGTACACAACTTAGTGAAAGTATCAATTCATTTATAAAAAGTTGCACTAATCTTGAATTGAATATTAGTCAATTCTTCAATGTCTTTGAACAAGTTGTTGTGGATAAGCGGTATAATGAATTGCAAAGTGACTTTAACTCACGCCAGAAGTTGCCAAGGTTGATATTGAAGAGTTCGTCTATGCTGCAACAGCTTTCTCAAGTTTACACACCACCAATTTTTGACTTGTTCCAGCATGAGTATGACTTACGTGATGCTATGTGTATAAAAGAGAGGAAAGAAAGAAAAATAGCTGCAGATGATGATGCTCTTGTTATTGATTATGTAATCACAATGGTTGATAAAAAAGGAGAGTGGAGATTGACATTTGAGCCATCAAGAGAAGATAAAGAGGCTGTCATTACTTGTAATTGTAAGAAGTTTGAACAATGGGGAATATTATGCTGTCATGCATTAAGGATATTGTATGACCAAGATGTAAAGCTACTTCCAAAGCAATATGTGTTAAAGAGGTGGACAAAAGAAGCAAGGTGTGGTGTAGTGCATGATAGTAAGGGAAAGGAAATTAAAGTTGATACTAAACTAGAATGCTCGAATCGATATAGGCAATTGTGCCCCATGCTCATAAAATTAGCTAGTGATGCATCTGAATGTCCAGAGGCATTCTCTATGGTTCATCAAGCAGTGCTAGAGCTTAGTAAGAAAGTGTCTCAACTTCTTATTAACCACTCATCAGATAGTGTTAATAATGAAGGAGGTGTTGATGATGATATTGGTAAGAATGATGGTTCAGGCATTGGATTCAAGAAGAGAGAGCGCAAAAAGATTAGTCCAAGTTGGGTCGACAATCCAAGTCAAAAAAGAAAAAAAGTTAAGACTTTAAAAAAATCTACTAACAAGTCTTCACAATGTTCAAAGGTATAATTATTTTACTTTGAATTTTTATTAGCATGATTTTTTTTATGACATTTAACTGATATTGTTGCAGGACACACAAAATATATTAGAAGTGGATAGATCATTATCTTCGGTACAATATGGCTCCCTTGTGTCAAATATGCCAGTGCAAGTGCAAAATGACCCCCCTGTGTCAAATATGCTGGTGCAAGTGCAATGTGGCCCCCTTGTGTCAAATATGCCGGTGCAAGTGCAATGTGGCCCCCCTGTGTCAAATATGCCGGTGCAAGTGCAATGTGGCCCCGTTATGTCAAATATACCGGTGCAAGTGCAAACTGGCCCCCTCGTGCCAAGTATGTCGGTGCAAGTGCAAAATGGCCCCCTCGTACCAAGTATGCCTGTGCAAATGCTATATGGTCCTCCCGTGTCAAGTATGCTAGTGCAAGGGCAATATGGCCCCACCGTGTCAAGGATGCCAGTACAAGGGCAATATGGCCCCACCGTGTCAAGGATGCCGGTACAAGGGCAATATAGCCCCCCCGTGTTAGGTATGCTCGTGCAAGGGCAATATGGTCTGCCTGTGCCAAATACACCAATAACAACACAACATGATCCACTTCAAGTAAGTCAAATGTCATTCACAACATTGATGATGGTAAAGATATTATATTTCAAGTTCTTATTCTCAACTAACTTAAATGTCATTCACAGCATATTTCATACTATTGTCATTTTATTTTTGTGTTTGTAGGATTCATTGAACAACAATGTGAAGTCACTTGAAGCAATTGAATTTAGTCAAGTATTTGAGAAAGGTAAATCATTGTCTAAATGTATTGAAACTTCTATTACAATTCAATTACATTACATTGTTTGAATATAAATTGTTACAATGTTACAAATTCAAATTTGAATGTGAATACAAATCCTCAGTTGTGAAGTCTTCATTTCAGTCCTAGCCTCTTGCTTCAGTCTCCATTCTGTTCTTAGCAGTATACACTTGTGGGCTGGTCCTCTTTTTTGTCATGCTAGCTCCTTACTTTGATGTTTGTTCTTTTGCTATAATGCTGCCCAGACTCATTTTGTATACTTGTAAGCTTGCTTTACTATATACTTGTAAGCTTGCTTCTTCCCATTTTGTAAAGCCCAAACAAATTTCTGTTTTTGAAATCTGCACAATTTATAGAGTGTAAGAGAATTATCCTTAGACAAAGAAGAAAATGAAGCAAGGAAATTCCTAAATGATTAGGTAGTCTCTAGTCAATTTACAGTTGCAGCTGGGCTTGGCAAATTTGTACTGTATGTGCAAAGTTCTAATGCATGTGTAAAGTTGATTTTGACTATGGGCTTGGCAACTTTTGATCTTTAGACCAAGGTGAATAAGAAAAACCTTAGGAATTAAGAAAATACTAAGCACTGTTCCTCAAATATATATATATATATATATATTTTAAAACTGAACCAACTTGTGAGGAAACATCTAGCCTGAATGAAATAAATGTTACAATGAACCATACATGAGAAATCTTCAAAATCACTTAGCATCTCTCTCAACCTCACTCATATTACATAAGAATCAATTGAGTCAGGTCAATCATAAACCACCACCAAGTTACCAAAGTGGAGAAAACAAGAGAAAAATAATATATCCATTGTCATTGCTCCTCATCAATATATAGAACCATAGAGAGGAGAGTTAGTTCTGAGTAGAATTTAAATAACAGGCATAAAAAAACTGCTAGGATATAGTCTATGAAAGAAGCACAAGCCAAATGCATAGAAGGAGAAACAGGGAAAGAGGTATAAAATACTTTCACATAGTAAATATGGCAAAAGAAGGTGATGGAGAAAAAAATGAAAGTAAAGAAGAAAGCAAATCGCCATTGACCTAACCAGCACACAGTCCCAATTACCTTCTTCTTATATTCTTGACATGTGAGATTATCACCATTCTCACCATATTCCAATCATTATTCCCCGATATAAATCAACCTTGTCTATTGGATTAAAAAAGAAAATCAACCTTGTCCTCAATGTTGAGCTAGACACTGAACAACATTAAAAGAAAGACATGCATAACCATGTCTTGCCACCCAAACCAAGCACAGCAAATTCTTTTCCACTGGATCATTGAGAAACTAGTAGAGATCTTTAATGAGTAAAAACTAAGTTACTTAATATCAACTTGCCATACTAAAAATTAAATACTAATCTGGTAACGAGGAAGACACACAGGAGACAAGAAATGTCTTCCACACGTAGCTGCTATGCGTGAATGGACATACCTTGTTTTTCTGTTCAGTACCCTTTCTGCCTTATATTTGGTTTCTTCTCTCTTTTCTTCTGCCACAATATTAAGAAGAAGATTCTGTGTCTCCCTTTACATTTCCTCCCTCTAATCTCTTCTATGTCATCTCTCTTTGCTCTCTATATCAGCTCCTCTCTCTATCAGTCTATTCTCTCATGCCCATGTCTCTTCTCACCTGTCATTTGCCTTTTTTATCCCCCTCTTTAGCTCTGTAATTTCTTCCGTTAAATCTTGGATTTCAAGGTAAACTTTGGATGTCTTGCAAAAACAAAAACAAAACAAAGCAAAAATAAAATGTACCATTGGAGAAGCGAACACCTCATTATCAGAGTAGTTAATTCATCCCTGGTCAAAAGTAAAAATAAATGGCCTCACCAAATTTGACTCATAAAAACTGGCAATGGAGACACCTTGCAGCAGAATAATCATAATTGTAGTAACATTGCCTCAATGCTCTACATCTTTGACGCAGCCTGATTCATAATGATCCTCATTTGAATGATCTCACTATTGATGGATCCCAAATCTTCATCAATTTTGTCCAACAACAACCCCAAAGGATAAACAAAAGAAAAAATTTTCTTAATTGATATAGAAGATTCATCAATTAAACATTCTCCTGTTCAGAATCGTCCTCATTAAGGAGGTCGAAGGGATCAATGAAGAGATAAACAGAGCAAAACACTGACCTAGATGAGGAGATAATTAAGCCGACGGCGAGATCAAAGAGGTCAACAGGGAGAAGACGAGGTGAAGAGAAGTGAGGAAGCTGGAGTTGAAGCTCGATGCTGGTCCAATGGCGTTGGTGAAAGTGGAGTTAGTTGGAAGGTGGCCAGGTGGGGCTCGGAGGACTGAGACGACGATTCGGTTCAGACTTCAGACCGGAGCGTCGAGATCAGTCTCTCATATATCCTTCCCATAGAGCCGACGACCGAGAGCGAGACGAAGGACGAGAGCAGTGTCGAGAGGGAGAGGGTTGCGTCTGAGGGTGTGAGGATAGAGAGCGCCGAGATCAGTCTCTCAAATATCCTGCCCATAGAGCCGACGACCGAGAGCGAAACGAAGGAAGAGAGCAGTGCCAAGAGGGAGAGGGCTGCGTCTGAGGGTGTGAGGATGGACAATGATGCAGACGGTCAGGATCGCAACAAGAAATGAACGATGGAGATTTCACCACTAATCAAAACGACGTCGTTTTGAAGAAATGGAGGAGAAATGCACAGAATGGAAGTGGAGACACCCTTCGCCCGGTTTAAGGGTGGGTCAACATTACACTGATTTGGAAAGTATAAAGGCAACATTGTTCCAACCAAAAAAAAAAGATACCAGACGCTTCTTGCGAAAATGTTTTGGATCATTTTTCCCGTTAACCCTTCTTATTTTTATTGTAAAATATTTTTAACTGTTGCACAAATCTTAAAAAAAATTAATTTTTTTATATTACAAAAAATGATATGTACTATCATTTTTATCCTTGACTTTAAATGATGGT